AACGATCTGCAGCAGTCCGGAGACGTAAGCAAAATTGGCTAAACTCCGTTATCAATTTCGGGTATTATTTTTCCGCTTTTATTTCGCATTCGCACTAATCTGATTATAAAGAAAATTACTTGTACTCGGTTTATTTCCTAACATTTCGTTTATAAATGGATTTTGAAAAGATTGCTTCATTAAGATGTGGATTCAATGATCATATTCCAGTCGAATCTAACGGCTTTGATCATCCAAAAGAATACAATAAGCAACCATTCATCATCGGTTCCATCTCTTTTCAATTTTTCCATACATTATATTTTGTTTCTTTAACTCTTCTCTAATTTTGACTCTGTTTTTGGATCCAGGAGTTGCTGGAGGAACCGCATCGGGCAAAACGACAGTCTGCAACATGATCATTTCACAACTTCACGATCAACGTGTTGTTCTTGTTAATCAAGTAAATCTTCTCATTTCTATTCTTTTTCCCCCTTTTTTACTATTTTTTCGGTTTTTTATATTTTATATATATACATATGTATTCAAATTATTAGGATTCGTTTTATCGCTCACTCAACGAGGAACAATTAGTGAGCGCTCACGAATACAATTTCGATCATCCGGTAATTTCTTCAAATCAAAGTTCTCCAATTATTAATCTTTTTTTATAATATAATTTTAAAGTAAATACTTCCGTTTCCTTTTGCAGATGCTTTTAATAATGAGCTTTTGCTTTCGTGTATGGAGAAATTAAGACAAGAAAAACCAGTTAGCATTCCTAACTATGATTTCAAGACTCATAAAAGCATCGAACCGTCACGTCTGGTAAATTGAAATATTTTCTGTTTCTTTTCTTTTGCCGAGTAAATTTTGATTTTTTTAAATGAAATCAGAAATTTCCGAAAAATTAGATTTTGTGTTAATGTAGGTTAATCCTGCCGATGTTATCATTCTAGAAGGAATTCTCTTTCTTCATGATTCTCAAGCTCGCAACCTTATGAACATGAAGATCTTTGTTGATATAGGTTAATGCGTTTTTCATACTGGTTTTGCTTACTTGATTTGCAAGTTAAGTAAGCACTGATATACAGGGTTTTAACCCGCTTTGCTGCATCCAGTTTTGGTCGTATTGTGATGTAATGAATGCTAAATCACAATATCACAATCAATTTTGATAAATTTTAGTATATTAAAAATAGAAAGGAAAGGTAGATTTTTTAATTCCATTAAAATCTATACAATTCATTTATCAACATGGCTAACAGATTCTGATGTGCGGCTTGCAAGAAGAATTCAGAGGGACCCAGTGGAAAGAGGAAGGAACATTTCAAATGTGCTTGATCAAGTTAGTAACTAGTTCTTGCTTGTTTGTCTCATTAATTAATTTCTACAATGGCATGCAAACCTGGTAATATACATGTTTATGTGTTTCATGTTTTTTTTACAGGTTTCAGTTGTGTTGAATAATAATATAGACAGTGGTTAGGTATTTCTTACCAATCCTTGTATCGTTTTTACAGTATTCCAGATTTGTAAAGCCTAGTTTTGAAGAATTCATACTACCATCGAAAAAGTTTGCAGATATAATCATCCCTATGGGGGGAGATAATGATGTTACCGTTGATTTGATAGTACAGCATATTCTTACCAAGCTTGGCCAGCATGATCTGTGCAAAATATACCCAAATATTAATGTTATATTTTCAACATTTCAGGTAGAATTCATGTATTTGTTGACTTCATCTTATTCTCTATTATATTTGAAGTCTTTGGTAGCTTCAATGATATTTTTGGCATTGTGTTCAGATTCGGGGAATGCACACCCTTGTCCGTGATGTCAAAACAACAAAGCATGATTTTGTCTTCTATTCAGATCGATTGATTCTCTTGGTAATGAGATCTAAATAAATTGAAAATTATAAGTCAAAAGTAATCACAAATCAGCAGGATACAGAATGATCTCAAAGTCCATATTTCAGGTTGTGGAGCATGGTCTGGGGCACCTTCCCTTCACTGAGAAACAGATCATCACTCCTACAGGTAACTGCTACAGTCATGTACAGCAATTTAAACACATTTTTGGTGGCTTCATATCTCCCTGATTTCATGCATGCAGGTTCTGTGTATTCTGGTGTTGTGTTCTGTAAAAGGTTATGCGGAGTCTCCGTTATAAGGAGGTCTTCCGAATCCCAAAATTTCTACCGTTCTTTTATACCTAGACTGCGTGACCTCTTTGTATCAGAAAAACGAAGTTGCTTATAAACGATAATAACTAAAGAGTTTATGGTACCAGTGGAGAGAGCATGGAGAATGCACTAAGAGCGTGCTGTAAGGGAATCAAAATTGGCAAAATACTCATCCATGGAGATGGAAATAATGGGAGGCAGGTAGGTTGAAAAACAAAAATCTGTGTTCAAAGAGTCTTTCTCCTCTACAGGCACACAATTTCTGATTTAACCGTCAACATTTACTACAGTTAATCTATGAGAAGCTGCCGGCAGACATCTCAAGCCGCCATGTCTTATTACTAGACCCTGTTCTAGCTTCAGGTTTGACAACATAAACTTATCATTTTCCTTCCAATTCTACTACTTTTTTTTCCCACAAATTCTATCCACGCTAAGGAAATTCGGTAATCAAGGCTGTATCTCTGCTTCTTAGTAAAGGCGTCCTGGAAACCAGCATCATCTTTCTTAATCTTATATCAGTAAGTTCAGATACTTTCCCAAATTCATGTGTATATCATTTTCTTATTATGTTTTCATGTTTAAATAGTCTCTTTGTATCGTATGTCCGATATTGTTTGAAAATATGAATTATGGTTAAGTGCAGGCACCCGAAGGCATCCGTGCTGTGTGCAGGAAATTCCCGAAGCTAAAAATTGTGACTTCGGAGATTGATTCATCACTAAATAAGAATTACAGAGTGATTCCAGGTATGGGGGAGTTCGGGGATCGCTATTTTGGCACAGATTAATTATGATTTTGGTTCGAATTCTTCTAAGATATTGACTATCTATAGCTAGCTTGCTCAAATCGTCCCAATTGTGTAAATAATTTTTTGGGTAAACTACACGCGTTTAGTACTTAAGTTATCAGTTGTGGTCTGTTATAGTACTAAATTTTCATTTTTTTCAAAATCATATCTAACGTTTAATTTTTGTTTCATTTTAATACCTCACCGTTAAAAACTTAATATTTTTAGTACCTAAAATATCAGTTTTGATACCTAAACTTTTAATTTTTTTCAAAACTTAAGTACTAAAAAATATTAAAACTTATAGTTTAAATACTAAACACTAGTTTATCATATTCTTTTCTACACGTAGTGGACAAGAATTCTTGTGTGGGGGGGGGGGGAAATCTTTGCAAGCACAAGTTTTAACGCTTACTGAAAGCTTCCAAACTAATTTATTTTTGACGGTATTAAAAAATCATATAAAATGTGCAACTTCTCAGAATGGACCACTGACATTTCTAATTAATTGAAAAATGTTACGTAACTTTGATTATTAATCTTAAAAAGTTAAATATTTTGAAAAAGAAAAAAATTACGTTTTGAAATGAATATAAAAAGCACAATTAACTTCGACAATGCATTGATCGAATTTGATTTTGAATTTTTTATCTTTTAGAAATTACATATAGATTTAATTATTTTTATTCCAAACTATTATTATATCTCAGTAAATATGTTAACGTCCAGCTCAAACGGCCGTTAATTTTTTAACGGTAAAGAAGAGATTGGAACATAATAAATAATCGAGTAACCATTTTATAAATTTTAATAGTCGAGGGAATCAACAAAACAACTCTCTATAATCGGTTACAATTTGTAACTTTTAATAATCAAGAGACTTAATAAAATAATATATTATAATCAAGGAACCATTTGTATACTTTACCCTTAATTTTAAAACATGTTTTAAGTTGTTTGCCTAATATTTTATAATGCTTCCACTAATATAAATAAATAAGTAAAGATGCATGATTTTAGGTTTAATCTATTTTGAGTCATTTCGGTAATTAATACAATATCTAGTGTTTGGTTCAAATCATCTCAACCGAATATCAAGTGTTACATATATTTTCTAATTTGGACGAAGAATCCTTAATCGGTGAGGCAAGTGAAGGAGATAAATTGGTTCAAAGAAATAAAGAGGGAGAGGAGAGTCTTTTTAAAGTTAGAATGGATAAATATTTTTTTCCTTTGTGCATGTTACATGTGGTATAATGATGTAAAAGTAGAATAATTTTTTTTATTACACGTACAATATATGTCATTATCGTTTAACATTTCCATCATATTATTTATCTTGTAGGAAGATAATCTTTTCGAAATGACTCTTTCAAAATAGAGGAAGGATACAACAATAATTATAGTATATGATATTCGCAAATCCTAAAATAAAACGTAAACTCAAATCTCACCAAAGGATCAAATTTAGATAACGTCATAAGAAGTCAATGGGACATCTTCTTTTGCTTCTTGTTCTTAAAATGAAAGAAAGAAAAAGGAAAAAAAATGGTTTCTCAAAGATTCTAATAGACTAATAGTGAACTTCAAAAATCAAAAGCATTGGACCAAAACAGTTCCCTCCAGTCATGATCAAACGCCATTAAAGCATTCAAACTCTGTTTAAAATTAAACTCAAATTATAAATATGGTACATTCAAGTGATAAGTAAATATAGTTTAAATAAAGTTTCGAGATCAAATCTTTATGTATGAAAAAAAAATTATTAAAAATTTTACTCACTAAAATCAAATACATAACTTATGTCGGTAGGGATTAATTGAGATAAACACCTTAAAATCAGGAGTGAAAAAAATTAAACCCGCATTGGATTTAAAATGGTAAACATAAAGCTGGTTGAGGATATCAACAAAGGGTCCCACTTTTGAGAACTTAAATAACCTTAAATCAAGCAAAGTCAAGTGACAAAAACCCTTGACAGAGACTAATAAGGCAACTTATTTAGAGTCCAAATGGTGTACACCCAAGAATTACCCCTAAAGAAAAGAAAAACGGTGAAAAGTATAATTCTTTGCACATCGTCAATAATGTTGGCAACTCACTTACCAGAATTTATTGAGAGCAAAGGGTAACAGAAATTGACAGGATTTCAACAACGAAGTCTTCAACAGTTATTGGTACGTTTTAAAGATTGAAATAAAGGGAAGCTGCCTAACCTTGGGACCAGTCTTCAGGCTGCTTAATCTTTGTGGTTGCTAAATTTGTTTCTCTCTCAAGATTCAGAATTTTCACCCTCCCACACTTTCCAGGAAAGCCCAGATTGAAAATCCTCGGTTTGGTTCCAAGTATCTCCGTTTTCTCATTAATTATATTATTTCTCAGGGAAAAGGAATGTGCTTTTGAATGCTTAATTCAATGATTCTCGTTTTGGTTTCTCCAAGTTCTCAACTTTTTTGTTTCATGAATAGTTGTGATCAAAGCTTGCGTAAAGTTGTTCACTTGAAATAGGTTTAAGCTATTCCAAAACATGATCTTTTTCTTTAAATGGCAAAGGGGTTGTTGGAAATTTTTTAGCTTTGATTTCACGTTAACGCAAAACCTGATACTTTTTCAGGTGAATTTGTGTTATTAAGAACAATACGATTTTGCTTGGTTCATTTATTTTCAGCTGCCGCCTCCTCTTTTCTGCAGTTTTAATTTGTGGGTATTGATGAAAGGGAAATTTTCAAGCTTGTTTAGCTGAATTCGTATGCTGGAAGATCAATCTCGAAAATTTGTGCTTTATCCACTCGCTTTGGTTCATTAAAAAAGTTGTTCTTTTTCAACTTAATAAGCTGCATCTCAGATCTCCTGTTTGTATGTTGTAGCTGAAGCATAACTTAATTGGTAGAAACACCTTTCCTTTAAAGGAAATCTAAAGTCGAAATCATTTTTCTATGCCAAGTTAACCATATATATATATGTAGTTATGTTTTAGAAAAATAGTTCTTTTTTGGTGGATCTCCATTTCCAATGCTATTATGCTAACATAGAGCTTAGCATTTAACAGCTGAACTCTACTGCTAAATTCAAGTAATAGGTTGAGTTAGTGCTTCAAGAATGACCAATTTTTATATGTAAAATGTGATTAGCTGAGATTATTCTATCACTGACATGAGAACCATCGGAACTACTGTTCTGTTTTTGTGCTATGTAATTAATACTAATTTTTAGTAAACCTTTTTTTCAGCATTGTTCTATCATGCTCTGCAGGTTATAATTTGAGCTTCAAACTTGATGACTGCATCTGGTGCAGTTATCTTTGTAAAAGTAGAATAAGGAGATCTTGAGCATAATGGGAATTCCCCTACGGAGGTATCGCCTTTTGTACTATTGTTTAACAGAAAACTGTTCATTGGCATTTTTACTAGTTTACAAGGTTTAAGTAACACCAAAAGTGGAATTAATATGAGTTACATTCACCTCTATTGGGCTGCAGTGTTAATTTAAGGATACCAAATGAGACAATGAGGCTTATTATTATGGCTGTTGCTGGAGTTATTTTCGGCCTTTTTTTAGGTGTATCCTTTCCAACAGTTTCATTGACAAAGGTACAATGGCACTCGCACTTTCCCATAATTCCAGCTGTTAAATGTTTGGTTTTCTTTTGTTTCCTTCTCCCCTTTCCCGTGTAATTTAACATGGAATAACGGGTTGATTTCAATATATTTAAATTTTGGTAGATGAATCTCCCATCGACCCTATTTCCTTCCATCGATCTTACATATATTGAGGACAAATATTCCGGCCTTTCAACCCAAACACTATTTAACGCTTTGAACACTCTCAAGGCTAATAAGGTTGCCTCAATGTCATCTTACAACTACACCGAGAAAAAGGTAAATCCCCTTTTTTTCGATTAACTATGCAGCATTACAATTCAAAAACTAAGATTGTAGGCTGTCCCTTGTCTTGAAATTATGAAATTTTTAACCATGATTTCTACTAAAGTAGTTGAAGATTTTTGGACAAAAAGTTCTCTTCATAAGCTATCAAAGCGATATTTACATTGAATTATGTTCGCAGTTATACAAATTTAGGATTAGTTTTATTAGCATATAATGTATTAATTTTTGCATTTTTTGTAATGGGGAACTCAACATTTGGACGTCAGTTCTATCAATTGATGAAACTATCTTTTCTTTAGGATGAAGCTCCTCAAGCAGGAGGTATCTTACAAACTTATTTATTATGGTGTTGTTAATATCATCTCAGGAGCTTTGACTAGAAAGTTGCAAAGCAATCAATTACATGTACAACTTCTTGGTTCTCAATTGATGATCTTGTTAATATCATCTTAGGTCGTATCTTTAGAACCGTTTTATGAAATAAGAAACAAAAGCTAAAGATTTTACCCCGAGATGGATGCAAATTCTTTTCTAATCTTGTTAATATAGGCTGGAGAAACTTTGTGAATCTCCTTTACTCATTGCCTTATATATTACTTTGTATATGCATCAACATCTGATGGTGTCACACTGTTCATTATATGTTATGTGATTGGCGATAGAAGTTAAAATCTGCTTGGATTAGACTTTCCTTTTTGGGCTAATATGTGATGGTCTTCTATAGTTATGTAACAATTTTCAAGGAAAATCAATTAGCATCAACACTTGCACGTTTTAGTGTGAGCACTAACTGTTAATCCTTAATTATTGCAGATCTGGCTTCCGTCAAATCCACAGGGTGCTGAAAGACTTCCCCCTGGTATAGTTACATCCGAGTCCGATCTCTATCTTCGTCGATTATGGGGTCATCCAAGTGAGGTATTCATCTTCATCACTTCATATTGACTCATTTTTATGTTTCATTATCCTAGTTTCATACATGTCAGATTTCGAACTGGTTGCCATCTAAATAAGGAGGAATTTTAAAAAGTTGAATTTGTATTATTTTGTACTCTTGTATTCTGAAGAAGTTGAATAGGGCAATGATCATTTTTCTTGGATATAATTCGGGTTGATGGGTCACATTTGCAGGACTTAACCATCATACCGAAGTATCTCGTAACTTTTACAGTTGGTTATAGTCTGAAAGACAATATTGATGCAGCTGTGAAAAAGGTCAGATCTCTCCCACTGTGCGTGTACACATACACTATATATATTCCTTGGCATGTCTTGACTCTCTTGTCTAAAACTTCTGTTTTACAGTTTTCAGAAAATTTCACAATTATATTGTTTCATTACGATGGTCTTACCACTGAATGGGATGAGTTTGATTGGTCAAAGCGAGCTATTCACGTGAGTGTTCCAAAGCAGGCCAAATGGTTAGCAACCGACTCCTTTTTTCTTCCGTGACTCTTGTAGGTTTTATGGGATTTCGCTAACCTCCAGTTGTGTTTGTACTCAAACTCCTTAATATTTTGTATAGGTGGTATGCAAAGCGCTTTTTGCACCCCGATATAGTTGCACCCTATGAGTACATTTTCATGTGGGATGAGGATCTTGGGGTGGAGAACTTCGATGCGGAAGAGTAAGTCCTTATGTTCTCTATCTTGCTTCAAGTGAAAATATGTTCTTTTAAGCTAAAATTAAACTCCTTTTGTTCTCAGATACATAAAACTTGTCCGAAAACATGGTTTAGAAATTTCCCAGCCAGGTTTAGATTCAAGTAGTGCTGGACTGACATGGGCAATGACAAGAAAGAGAAACGACAGTGAAGTTCACAAGTAAGAGCATTTTAGTCTAACAGCTTGATTGTGGTTTCTGTATTCCTAATCAGTAGTTCTGCATAGGTTGGAATGGTTTCTTTGGTAGAAAGGTAGTTTGATCTTCGGTATTTATTTTCGCTCCTATAGGGATACCGAGGAGAGACCTGGCTGGTGTACTGATCCACATTTGCCCCCGTGTGCAGCGTATGAAACATATTTAATCCCATTTGTTAAAATATTTAATCATATTGCTAATCCTTGGATCTTAGCTAAGTGTTCTCGCATATTTGATGCTTAGATTTGTCGAGATCATGGCTACAGTGTTCTCTCGGGATGCATGGCGATGTGTTTGGCATATGATTCAGGTAAGCAGCGAGTTGATTCTTTTGAATGTTGTCAAATCTCAACTATTCCCAGTTTATGATAAAATTTCTCCTTTAAAACGCAGAACGACTTGGTTCACGGATGGGGCCTTGATTTCTCTCTTCGGAAATGCGTTGAGGTTAGAGACGTCTTATTCCTCTTACATTAGTTAACTTTCTCTCATATACATACAACAACCTAACACTGATTTTGCAACTTTGTCCGTGAGAAGCCTCCTCATGAGAAAATTGGGGTTGTAGATGCTCAGTGGATTGTACATAAAAGTGTTCCTTCTCTCGGAAACCAGGTAAACATTAACCCATTAATCGTTGTCGTTACAATGTTCATCATGCACAGTATACAATTCACTTCTTTTATTCCTTCATTTCTCACAGGGGAAAGCAGAGGGTGGAAGGGCTCCATGGGAAGGGGTATGAACAAATATATATATATATATACACCCATTGCGTATTTAAACACGTATATATATGCATGTATGTTGAGGAGAGTTGTGGTAAAAGTTGGAAATTTTGGTGTGGCAGGTGAGGGAAAGGTGTAGGAAAGAATGGACAATGTTCCAAGATCGGATGACGAATGCGGAGAAAGCATATTATGGAGCACTGGGAATTAATCCTTACAATGAAACAGCTAAGTAGAAGATATAATATAGTAAGTATTTCACACTACCATTAGAGTTTTACAAGTCACTTCTATCTGTGATGCAAACTGATTTTTGGTTACACTAGAAGCTAACTTTGATCCTATCAACATATGTAATGTTACTTGGGCATCATTGTCAACATTATATATTATAAGTAACTGCATGAATTATATAAAAATTTCTTTGTTTTCTCTACTTGTACAAAAAGGACAGTTTCAAGTGCAGAAACATTCATGCCAGAAAATTGATGTACATTTCTAGGGTAATGAGTCCAGTATTAACCTAGAGAATGATATTTGGCTAAATAAGGGATTAGAATTCTTGTATCATCTCCGTGTACTAAGAAATTTGGAGAATATTTTCGCAGTCAAGATCTTCGGGGAGCATCTTTTCAATAGAGACCCCATAAAAGTATTTTTGGATATAGGGCCTCCGGAGGCTTATGCTTATTGGAAAATCATAATCTTTTGACATGACCTTTGACAGGTAACACGTGATTTTTCAATGCCAAAATCAATTGTCAGTCAACTATATCAATCGAGTCTATCAACCTACAAGTACCTATAATGACCTTACATCTTATTGCAACACTAAGAGTCACTATAAAATTCATCGATCAAGATTGAGGAAGGAATGGGAATCTTTCTCTTCGCTCATCCCTCTTCTACCTCCTCATGAAGGTAAAAGACTTTGACACCGGTTAACGATCACCTAATCACTAGTTGTGACTCTCTATCTAAATCAAAAAGGGTGAACCGCCTATAAATATCATAACACATTTGTTCCCATCAATAGATGGTGCGGTAAGCGTAGAACACCTCTTAACATAAAAGAATCAGTCAAAATGCATCCATAAAGGCAATAGTCAATATCATCTCTCATCTCCTTCCTAAAATCTCCCCCACATATTTGGTTATTTCTGGCTTGCGCCTGTAAATCAGAAGGAAAAACTTGCATACGCAACCTTACACCCCTTATGTTGCCCAAACGCGGTTGTAGTGGCGGATCTAGTTGACTCATAATCGACTTCGTAGCATATGATGGGGAGAATAAGAAGTAAAGGGGGAGAACATAGACAACGTCGTGCGCTTTGCTTATCCGGATTCCACTCCTTACGAGCTCTGGAAAGCCATTGTAATACCACCAATTCTGGAATATGTTGACCTTGTCATCCAAGAAGCGAGAAATGTTACCACTGTGAACACTCAGCACGACAGCGTCAGAGATAGTGTCAAGAGAGAGCCAACCTTGGCAAGGGAGCTACCCGAAGCATACATGAAAATCACATTGCCTCCGATTGCTCCTCCGACAAACGAAATTGGTAAACTACACTTGTAACTTTGATAATCACCGTATAGCTAATAAGTATGAGAGTTTCCTCCCTATTAGGCTTACAAACTAGGAACTAGATTAGGCAAAACCTATGAACTAGATCTTCATCTTTTCCTTAGACTTACACAATGCTTAAACTATAACTTAGCTACTTCTTGATCTAGCATGTGCTCCCTGTTCTCAAAAGGTGGTTTGGGCGTAGTTGATTTAGATATTAAAAATAGAGCTCTCCTTGGCAAGTGGGTTTGGAGATTTGGAAACGAGAGAGAGTCTTTGGAAGCAAGCTGTTACAAGCAAATTTAAGTCTGGGAGAGGTGGCTTATTTCCTCCAATTCAAATTAGAAAATCTTGCTCGTGGATATGGAATGATATTACAAAATCATTTTTCTTCTGTGATGTTGCATGGTTTCTTTGGATGACGTTTTTCGTCTTGTGGGGTATCGCTACGGCTCTTCATCATGAACCAAAACTGGTTCTATTGTCCTGGTAGAGCGACCACAAACAGAACCCAGCTGGTTCGATTTGGAACATAGTCCCACATGCGATCATGTGGTCATTATGGCTATATAGGAACGATGTTATCTTTAAGGGCTCTTCCGTGGATATCTTTCAGTTGAAATTTTTAATCAAGTATCGTTTAGCTATTTGGTATAAAGCTTTTAATTGTGATGTGCTAATTTCAGTGGTTAGTAGTATTGCACATCCATTATGTGCTGAAAAATGTCCGGTTGATAAATTCAAAAACAGCGGTTGTTCTTCATGGCGACCCCCTCCTAGGGTTTTTTTTGAAGTTCAATGTGGATAGCGCTACGCTACGTGGTGGCAACGGTGGTGGCTTGGGAGGAATCTTTAGAGACGAAGTGGGTAATGTATCATCCAAATTTGTTGTTAAACATGTGTGTGGTATCCTTGTTTTGCAGAAATAATGGCTATTGAGTATGGTTTGAATTTATACGTAAAGTCGACTTGGTCGAGTATCTATCGATTGATCATAGAAAGTGATAGTCAGATTGCTGTCGAGTGGATTAAAAATCCAATCTCATCTCCTGCATGTTTGCCTTCAATGATTAAACATATTTCAGATTGTATTCGTTTCAATAGCTCGTTTGCATATTGCATTTTTGGTATTAAAGTCCTGTGTTGTATCGTTGGAGTGTAGTTTTAGTAGGCTAGATGGGGTTTATTTTCTGTGGTTTGGCATGGATTTAAAACTAGGATGTTGTAATGTTTTCTTGAGTTATTATATAAGTCTTTTAGCTCTATTTTCCCTCCTCGTCTAATTATGGGTTTTCGAACTTAAAATTAGGTATGAGAGGGCTTTTAACGAGACCCAAATATCTTTCAAAAAAAAAAAATTAGCTAGTTCTCAAACAAGTTAAGAAAAACTTCTTTCCAGCGTACGTAACACTCAACATTTAATACACAAAAAGATTGGGGTTCTTCCTCCGTTTAAGTACTAAGACTCTAGAAACATTTTTAGTACTAGGAGTGGGTGCATTATGACCTCCGTCATGTCGGCATGATGTTGAGACACCTTCGATTTGCTGTCATAGTGGGGATTCCTTCTTTCTGGCCCGAAACATTAAGCTACCCCTGCGTTAACCGACCAAATGAGTTAGGATGCCTCTATTCCACTAATAACAAGATGCCTTTACTTTTGGATACCGTTGAGATGATTCCGTCAGGAGTAGAGATGCATATAAAATAAGTTTACGATTTATGGAATTTACCCAAAGGGTTGGAGAGCCTCTGCTCTAGCAATAAGAGTTCCTCCATTGTGCATTAACGTGCGTCGAGATATCTTTGCTCTAGAGATAGAAATTCCAACTATTCACTTCTACCAATGTGAAGATGTCTTAATTCGCACATGTAGAATTTTCTTAAAGTGTGGAGATGTCTTCACGGTGCATTATCACGGACTGAGTTACCTCATCTAATCGGTTGAGGACGTCGTGATGTCTTCTCTCTGTAATTAAGAGAACTCTTCCTAATACCAACTTATAAAATTGAGATGATTCCGTCCTGATAATAGAAACTATTTCATTGCCACTAAATTGTAATGGCTTAGCGTGCGATTTCTGATTTTTGTGCATAAGCTGAGCAGATAATAAAAGATTATCAATAGAGAAGCTATAATAAGCATAACAAATCATACACGTTTCAGTCAAATATATTTCATTTTCCCTTAGAATAGTGGCATGTGCATAATATTTAGAAGTTGATGTTTTTTTTCTGAGCTAGCCGGTGAATGGTTGATATTTGTCATTAGTAGCATTTTTCTTAAATGATGATAATAAACTCGTTCTGATGAGCTTTTATGTCAAGTCATTTTATATGGTATATTAGATTATGATATGATGGTGCAAACGTCAAGAAAATGGATAAGTATATTAGAGTAAGTATAAGAAACTTGATGGGATTGATTATGGTGGAAACTTGAAGTAAATCTGACATCTCTAATCCGATCTGGACATCAGGACCGTGCAGCGGGTATTACAAACTATATTATTATGAACCAGATCATGTATTATCAGAAGAAATACATCGAATTTTAAGCTATCGAAAAGGAAAATGGCAGCAGGCCTCAACTCGTAAATACTTTAGATCATTAAGCATTCATCCGAGATAGTCGCCTCTTCAAAGGAAACTGAAAAATCTAAACCAATTTGGAAAATTACCATGAAAAACTAGCCAAAAACAAATTAATGTATCGAATATAAACCGTTAAATGCATTTTTAATTGTTACACAACAATACGGGGATGAAAGAATTCTATGTCAAATGCTCAAAGATGGATGCTCTCTGTCCTGACATCAATGTTATGACTCTTGAAACTATGGAGATGCAGAAGGCAGTTAGAAATACCCTTTAGTGATTGCTTCCTCTAGTTCCTTGAATTCCCATGCCTCGTCCGCTGAATACTCGCCTGCAAGGAGGAAGAGTGGTTTCTTAACGAACTATTGACTTTTGAAACAAAAATCCACTGAAAATAATGTTGAATCTCTTCTAATCTGACAAAACAAACGCATTCAGTGTCTTGTTTATTGGTTTTGCAACACAATTAACACCTAGCTTCGAGATAAAACCATCTTATGACTAGGAGCATATCGACTAAAATGATCACATTTCAGTTAATCCAATCGCAGTCCAAAATTGTGTAGGATCTAGTATGGAAAACCCTACATATTCTTTGTTGTGATTAGACAATAACAGGACTGTGGTAAAAGGCGTTGTAGGTGAAATGCTCCCTTTTTGCCCACCATTTCATGAATACTAAGTCCTAGCAACCAGTGCAAGGGCCCCTTACAGCCTTGCAGATAAACCGAAAACAAAGAGAAAACGATAAATTTATATAGCAGTGATCTCTTTTGCTTTACTAGTCATTTATATTGGGAAATCAATTAGTTCTTATACCTCCTACTTGAGATAAATAGAAACAACTTCCAAGTGAAACAAAAATGATAGGTTCATACTGGCAAATCATCTATTTGATCAAAACCAATCTATTAACATGATGATGAGATCTTACCAATTGAGTCTCTTCGCAGAGCCGTCAAATGAGCACAACTGAAACAGCAGAGAAATCAAGAGAACATCAACTCAAATGTTGAAACGACAAAGCTGAGAGGTTAGACAAATTTCTAACTTCCCTAAAACCCAGAAACTATTGACCATCATTCATCAGCCAATAAATACCAGAGCTAAGCCTGAAAAGCAAGGCAGAAAATTTTTCGAGTATCAAATTATTAAAAGATGATTACCTGCCCAAAGCCTTCCCAAAATCTGCACATAATGACCGGATATATGTTCCTTTCGAACATGTGACCCGGAAAATCAAGTTTTGTCTGCAAAGACATCAGAAGCATTAAAATGAAGCTTGAATTATGCAGTAGTAAGATGACTGAACCAGTGTTTGAGGGGGGTTAAAGACAAGTACCTATCTTCTAAGCTACGCTCAATCTCAAAGTGGAAAATTGAAATTCGTCTTGGTGATAGTTCAACACTCTCTCCTCTTCTTGCTTTTTCATACATCTTTTCACCTCCAACCTATTCACAATATCAACATGTGTTTATTATTCAATAAATTCCTAAGTTTCACAAGAAGCTGAGAAGAAACCAGTAAGGCACACTGTACACATATAATGGATAAGGAAGAATGACAGACTTCTATAAAACCTAAGCCCCCCAGATGAACAGTAACTTCTATATATATTAGACAACAACAACAAAACCCAATTCTCATATGCAATGGGGTAAGGGGGAGGTAGGATAGTAGGCTGCCCCCAACGCCAGGTTGAGAATAGCTTCCGTGGAAGACCTCCGACAGTCAGAAAATTAAAAATATAGATAAAATGCAATGCATATATAAATAAATACATAAATATATAGTTGAACAGTATTCATATGCAGTCATTAATATCATATGCGCGCCTGTAATAGGCAATAATCCCTGCAAATAAACCCCTGCGAAAAAATCTCTGCATATAGACAGAAACGTAAGACCCGACTAAATTTAAAAGTGAAGAGAATGATACATAGAAGTCTACGATAGCAAGTCCAGTTTTAAGCCTTCATAAATACCAATAACAGAAACGTATAAAAAGTAGAAGTCATGGAAATTACTACAAAGACATTAAAAGAAGACAGAGATGATACACCCTAGAGATGTGACCCACACTACTCGACTACCCTAGTCTTAAGTCTCCATAATTTCCTATCAGAGGTCATGTCCTCTGTAAGAGCTAAATCCATCAAATCAGATCTCAAGCAGTCTTCCCACTTCCGCCTTGGTCGTCCTCTCCTTCTAGAACCGTCGACTGTAATCGACTCTACCCTCTTGACCGCATCTGACGGTAGTCGCCTAAGAACATGCCCAAACCACCGTAGTCTTCTCTCCCTTAATTTTTCGGAAACAGACACCACCCCCAAGGACATCCTAATAGCAGAGTTTGTTGTCATATCCCACAGAGTCCTACTGCATGTCCATCGAAGCATTCTCATTTCTGCGGCCTCTATCCTCCTTACATGATCCTTCTTGGTTGCCCAACATTCTGATCCATACAACAGCGCTGGTCTTATTTCCATTCTATAAAATTTTCCCTTAAGTTTTAGAGGCACCTTCTTGTCACACAAAACTCCAGTAGCGGCCCTCCACTTTAGCCATCCCGCCTTTAAACGGTGTGTAACGTCATCATCAACACCCCCATCTTTATGTATCATAGACCCTAGGTACTTGAAACAATCCTTTGAGGGGAGAACGTGTCCTTCTATGCATACTTCTACATCTTCATCGTTTTGGTCCCCACTGAAGTTTGAACATAAATACTCTGTCTTTTCAATATTGATCCTTAGACGTTTTTCTTCCAAAGCAGTCTTCCAGGTAGCCAGTCTACTATTCAACTCAGATTTTGTTTCAGCAACTATGACAATGTCGTCAGTGAAAAGCATACACCATGGTACACCGTCTGGTGTCGCACAAAAGATGTCGTCCATAATCAAGACAAAGATGTAAGGGCTAAGAGCCGACCCCTGATGGAGTCCGATTTCCACCGGGAATGCCTCGGTGTCGCCAACTGTAGTCCTGACGTATGTAGTAGATCTACAATACATATCACGAATCGCCCGGATATAAGCAGCTGGGATCCGTCTCGTTTCCAAAGTCTTCCAGATCGTATCGCGGGAAACGCTATCATAAGCCTTCTCAAGGTCAATGAACGTCATGTAAAGATCTCTTGACTTTTCCCTATATTTCTCCATAAGTCGTCGAAGTAGATGAATCGCTTCCGTGGTAGACCTGCTTGTCATAAAGCCAAATTGGTTTTCCGAAACCCTAGTAACTTGTCTCAATCTAGCCTCTATCACCCTTTCCCATAGCCTTCTATATATAATAGGATTCATCAAAATATTTTTATATCCCCTCAAGCATTTTTCTGTAAACCTTACCTTGATGGCAGAGAACATGGGAGGCACTTGCCATATCTCCCCACAGAAGGATGCAGCAGTTTTCTTTATGTCCTCATCTTTGATATGCTCCCAAGGCTCACGTTGAATAACCTACATAAAGATCAAACTGAAACTTAAACATATAGCAGGCTTAATGTCCTAGAAATAAATGAATACATGCTGAGATCTTGTAGAGTAGTCACAAGAGAAACATTAAGTAAACAGCACATAACAGTATACCGAAGTGAATACATAAATTGGACAAAGAAACAGCAGATCCTATTTATATCAGACTGACTACTGAATAAACATACCGGTGAATCAGCATCCCAAGTTGAAGTAGCCTCCCCTAAGCGAAAAACCCCACTATATCCCTTTACCATTCCTTGGTATCTGCAATTGAAATATTCAAACCCGTCAGAGAAATTCATCTGACACATGTATGGAAACAAAACCTTCAGTTTCAAGCCAATAGGCCAGTAAAGGAGGGGAATGGAGCCTGGCTTTAGACATTGAAAACAGAAGAGCTAGTCTGTAGAATTCAGACATGAGATCAGATCAAACAAACCTCTCTACCAACTTAGTGGCTTTACCAACACATACAATCAATAGACCTGTTGCCATAGGATCAAGTGTTCCAGCATGCCCTACCTGTAAGTACAGTCCAAAAAGTTGAACTATAGCAGAAAATAAGTTAAGAAGTATCCAACAAACGAGATGTAAAAAGGAAAAACAATACCTTTTTCACTTTGACTAAGCGACGCAGCTTGCCACAAACGGTAAATGAGGTCCACCCTGTTTTGCAATATAATAGTGTTATCATTTGATACAAGTCACTGTCATAATTCAAAAATTTTACATTTTTTTAATGAGGATTTTCAATATTTCCATCTCAACAAATCAGAGAATTAGATAAATAGCCCTAAAATTTAATAGGATGGCCAAACAAATATGACTCGCATCCTCTCTGAATTTGAAACAGGAAAACGAAGAGTTCCATTGCTAAAGCAGATGGCAAGCAGTACAAAACTACCTCACACATTGTCCTAGTTAGCCTAAGCTAACATTGAATAACATCCAACTGTAAGCCACATATTACCAAAACCTCACATATCACTGAATGCACCAAGAAAAAAAGAACACTAAAGAACACTAAAGAACTGCAATATATTCACAAATAAAAGGCCTCCGGTCTTTAATAATAGATAAGGTACGGAATTCAGATTGTGATGCTAATCAAAATATAGCATTCAAAAGTATCGAATCCATCACAATTTAAACAAAAAACACTATGCATACTACTTAGCTAACCTTTGGGCTTATTAACCAAAACTACCGTCCCATGTGAACCATCCCATCTCGGGGGCAGCTCAGTACTCCTACTAACAAGGTAAGGCTCCCCAGCACTGACCTCGGTTTCCTTATTGGGAACTTTTTTCAAACACTTGAAAAACTCCTCCACCTTCTTCTCAGTAACCTTCTCCTTCACATCCCCACCTGAATTTCCGTCTTCCTCAAAAAACACCAATCCTTTATCCTCCGCCTTGTTATTATCATCCTGCTTTTTACTCTTTCCCTTAATTTTGGTTTTCTCATTTGATTCTCCAGGTTCAAGAAAAGCTTTATCAAAACACTGATCAGGAAAATACTTCTTTTCTAATTGATAAACCATTTTATAATGCTTATCTTTTTCCCAAGGATACGCAAATGCATCATAAAAGTAGAGCTCTTCTTCCCTCTCATGTAGCCTATCAAATTCCACGACTTTAGGCTTCAATTCAACAAACCCATCTTCATTTTTTCCCTTATCCTCATCTTCAGAATCTGAACCATACATTCTTTTCCTTCTCTTTCTATAATATTTCCTCTTAGACTTGTCCATTTCTTCTTCTGAAGTGAGTTTTTTTTCTACCCATGAATCAAAACCCAATTCTTTCTCTGGTTTCTCTTCCTCGGGTGAGTTGGGCGAGTCCGATTTACTGAGTCGGCGGCGAGTTGGGGTGGGTTGGGACTGAGTTGGGGTGTTGATGACCATGTCATATTGAAGAGGATAAGGTGTAGATGTTGTAGAGAAGAAAAACGAAGAGAATGGCTGCTTTGAAAAGATCAATCTGTTGTTGAAATTATAGGATTTTGGTGATAAGAGACGAACAGACTGAGTTGCTGTAAGAAAAGATAGAACCTTTGGACGTAGCAAAATAAGTGACATCGTGGCTTCAGGTGGGGAAATTTTACCTACACTCGAGGTTTGAAGGATGAAGCTTTAGAAAGAAAAAAAAAACCCAACCCGATTCAGGGTTTTAGCAGAGCCATGTCCAAGTGTTGAAATCTACAATTTCACAGGATTTTTGGTTTAGAATTTAAGGCTTTGGACAAGCCCAATGGCAAAATTAGTCCAACAATCCAAACTGTAAAGTTAATTAGGCTTATACGAAGGTTTAAAAATTAATCTGGAATTTATGATAAATACAGAATGAAGTTGAAACTCGTCATTCTATCGTAACGGATTTCTTATAATATTTATTTTTTTTATTGATATTGATTATGTGAGTGTCGTGAATCGTATTATTTTAATATATTTTTTGAAACTCGTCACAACTTGTAATGAATTTCACTTGATAAATTAAAAATTATTTTTAAAATAATATAACTGAATAAATTTAAGATAAGATATTTTGATAATCACTCAACTTGAATAGATTTTAAAAATATTTAATATTTTTTATAAGCAAAGAACACGTAAATACATTAAATGTAAGGGCTTGTCTCTTCTTAGATTACATCAACTACAACCGTAGGAAGTGTATCGAACTTTATTAACCAATTTAAATGTAACTTTTCAATTTTCACGTATTAACCTATCAATCATATTCACAAGAGCATGAAATGTTGGATATTTTATTAACAATTTTAACTATTTCAGCATTGTTCACTTCTACTTCAAGTTGATATTAAATCTTTCAACTGTTGAAATAAAGAAATTAAAGAATACTTCATTTAATGATTAATTTACAAAAGTATTATATTTATACAAGAATGCTGTAACTAATCTATCAATAACAACCCTGACCAACTCGTACAACTACCTCTCAACATGAACATGCATAACACATAATAGATCGCCCATGATTCAACAACAAGAAGAGAACAACTTCTCACATTTTTTGTAAAGCGGAATATCCAATTTCCATGGTCATCTCTCAAAAGATCTCTCTCCGATGCATCTTGGTTAACTGCTCCATCTGAATTGGCCCTTATTCATCCAGCTGCTGCTCGTCTCCACCTCCTTAGATTTTTGCGTTGTTAGACATTTTTACAAATGCCACAATGAATATTACTTGTCATGCGTTTCCTATAGCGTTCCACGTTCGTTAAGAGTTTTTCATGAAATACCATTACTAAATTATCAATAATAAGATGATATGATAATTTAATGCTAACGTAAGCTGATATGAAAGTAATTTTCTTTATTTCACATCATTATTTTTTTTATTTAATATTTTTTGTATTATTGAAAAAAACTATATTATCCTACATCCTTTACGATCACCTATACATCAATACATTCGTTTCATCGTCTTCCATCACTTTATCAAGTTATTTTTTTTTTCACTCAAAAAACTCTTTTAACAATTCATAAAATTAAATACAAAAATCTATAATTTTTAAGGTTTACGTGCCTTCTTAAATTTGAGAGACGTTTAAAATTTTAAATAATAAAAAATATCATCTCAAGAGGACGAATACATACTTCAAAAATAACCTCATCTGACAGCCATTGAAAGAGATCAGAGCTTTAAAATATTAAACTTCAGGTAAATCCTCGATGATTTTAGATAAATTTCGCAAAGAAATCATTCCAAAAATGATATTCAAATATTTTAACACCAATCTTACTGCAAATAGTGATAAGAGATGATTGATAAACAATGACAGCAGCATCCTGAAAAAGAAATTTAGACATGGAGGAACCTGTGGTATTGATTTTGAATAAATCCAGCTTTATGGCATAATATGGAAAGGTCAACAGGAATAATAATTTAAATCCAAACGAACAAATAGTAATCAATCCATGGTAAATAATAAACTGCACATTGGGAGCTGACAACATACAACCAGCATATCTCATGAGAGGTTGAAGAAATTACAGTTGGTAGTACTAACACAAGCTCCATCAGTCTTCTTCATCGTCTTCACCTTCTGGAAGCCCCATATCGTCTCCGATACCCTCGAGCAGTTGGTCAACATTTTCACCTAATTCAGATAACCTTGCGCTCAACTTTTCCACCTTGCTCTGCTCTTGTCCGAGGCACACAAGTAAATCATTCAACTCTGCTTCGCTTTCCTTCTGAGCTTCTTCCCTAGCTTCGGCTATTATTGCCTCGATATCTGGAGATGTTGACGTCCCACCGCTCTTCAAAGTTTTAACCTCTTTTTCTAGTTGGATATTGTTCTGTTCAAGACTATTGTAAGCATCAGATAGACTCTTGAGATCAGACTCTAGTTTCCCTGCCAAATTCTGGTACATTAATGCCTCTGATTCAACCTTGGCTTTCTCTGCCTTCAGCATCTCTACCCGTTGAGATGCCTCCTGAAGATCTCTCCGAAGAGTTTCCATCTGGACTCTATCCGAGCTACTGCCTGCCGTTAGCTCAGGTTGAGAATGACCTGTCCTTGCCAAATCCTCAGCCAAAGTGGCATTCCGGCCAAGAAGTTTCTAGAAATGAAAAGGAACGGAAACAGAAGATCAGCCAGGTAAAAGCAAAGGAAGCCAATTGGCAAACATAATTATTTTAAAATGTTAGTGAATTTGCAAATAATGATAAAAAAAAAAGAACCCAATAAATGCACACAAATGAAACATGTGAATTCAATACGCTCTTTAGATAGTAAAATGATTTCCAACTAACGAGTTCTTGTGGTTTTTAGCTATGTTAATCGGGCTCGGATTAAAGTGTTAGACAAAGATATATATCTGACACGAGTATGGTTAGATTTTTCTAAGTTTTATTTTCATACATTTTTGTAGGATCCTTTGAAGTCATGTCCCATATTCAAGAGGTGGAAACGGATAATGAAAAAAAGGAGTCTGAGCAACACAGGTTTTAGCTTTCAATTACCTGTATCTCAAAGCACTGCGTCTCCACAAATGCTTTTAGCCGCTTGATATACTCCTTATCACTCTCTCCACCCTTTTGTTCCATATCGGCTGGCACAACAGCCACATCACTCTTAGGGCGACTGTAAACATCTACAATGTTCTCTCTAATATTCACTTCCACACTTTTCACAAAACTAACAAACTGAGCATCACATATTGATGTGAGGATTGGGTGATCCTCACTCTTCTGATATGTCAAATCACTCTCATTGACATCTTCAATCTCTGTCATAATAGCAGCAGTGGATCTTGTTAAAGGTTTATGGGATTGAGTTGGCTTCACTGAAGAGAAAATGAAGCTTCTCTGCATCTCATCAAACTTCAGGAAGTACGATGTAAGCCCAATTTTCTGGCTTATAGCATCAGCTATAGTAAAACTATCCTTTCCATTTTCACTAGATTTATTGTAAATAATGCATTCTCCCAAGAGAACTGCAGCCAACCCCCTAACACACACAGTTGATGATGTAGCTGACACCAACTCAAGCAGATACGTTAAGTGGGGGCGTGAATCTAGGAAGCATTGCACTGCACTTGGGCAATCTGCTAGCCAAGTGATGAGCAGTTTCAAGATAATTGGTTGGATATATGAGTAACCTGGTTTCCCATCTTTATTTTTCATTGAAGTGGCAACCGCCAAATACCTAACAATTCGGTGCAATAGTAGCTCTGGAGCTCCTAAGGATGGCATTGACGCTTCGAGCTCAACCTGTAGAACCTGAAAGTCTTCATTGAAATTAGAATGCAGGAAAATAGAGGCATACAGTTTCCATTTTTCTCTAGATGCAAGGGAAAAGGGGAGAAAGAATGTGACAGCATACCCTTTCTTTGCACTGAGTATTGTCCTTGAGAATATGAGTAAGGACACTAGCAGCCCTGCAACAAGACTGTAATTCACAATATTAGCTGGACAATTCGCAGGTGGTAAGCAACATGAAGAAAATCTAATAGTATGCTATATGATGGATATAAATATTTATAAAATCTTAATACATATCATAAGATGGTTCAACAAATTTAGGTTCTCGATATTGTTTTTCAATGTTCATGACAAACAATGGAGAAGTGTGAACATTAGATTACCTCAAGATCGCCATCACTTTCACTCATTGCAAGACCACGTAACAGCATGCTGCCACATATACACCGTAATCAAATAATTTCACCAAATGAAGTTTGTACAGAACAAGCAAACAGCCAAGTAAAACTTTTAAGATTTAACTAACACCATAGAGTTCAACACATTTTCCTAGTCTGAGTAGCCTAATAAAAGAGAAAAAGAAAGCATTATGAGTGAACAAACCTTCCAAATGACATATTCACATCCTCCTCAAGGGAAGCAGCAGCCATTGAAATTGGATGTGGAATTAATGTTGATGCTAGCATTGCTTGCCCATCCTTGTTTTTCTAGAAATAAGAACCAAAGTTCACAATCAAGAAACAGCAATTCACACCAAGACACTTCATGTAAATTACATGGGCATAATTATTAACAAAAGAAAAATATCAAGAAAGCTGTGATATAAACCTCACAGAAGTTCTTAAAAACATAGTCAGCCGCAATAAACTCTTGCATGCTAGATGTTCGCAAAATGATTCGGAGAAGAGAATTCAAAGCAGGTTCTACTTGTCGCTCCTCACCAAGAACTTTACTGGAAAGGGCATCCAGATTCTTGGAATGCCCAGCAACCAAGTCACCAATGCACCTTAGTGCCTGGCAAAATATAATCATTAGAGAAGTGTATGATGAAATAAAAAAATAGAAAAAATCTAGAATGAGATCTCACTGAACAGCGCAGAGCAACTGGAGCCCATTGACTTTCAACACCCAGCATTAGCAGATGGTCCAATAACTTCTTCTACAATCAAGGAAACAGGAAACAAGATAACATATCACATAAACAGATGGCTCCGCAGACAGTCAATCAAGTAGAAACTATTTGTAATGAACCTGAGATAGGACTGTTTTATTGGCGATCTTGTTTGAATCTTTTTGAGGGTCTGATTCTGAACCTCCCATCATCAACAAATTAATAGTCTCCAACGCACTGAGTAAATTAATTGTCTACTGGGATGTTGTTTTTT